AAACTATGAATGGTTCGCTTTGAGAAACTCAGTACAACCACAAGCTAGAGAACAAACAGACCAGTATGCAAATATTGAGAAAATAAGAAGACTTGACCCTAACGTTCCAGGAGTTTATGTTAACCTTTCTGGTTCAGATGGAACTGCTGCCACTAAAGTAAAACTGAAACTTAGAGTTCCTTTGTCATCTTTCCTCATCTTCAGGTTTTTAAGATACTTGCCAAACTGGGCAGGAAAAATTTCTATCGAACTTACTCCAAGCAAAAATAACTTAGTCATTGCACCAACACAAGACCCATTCAGCATTACTGTAGCTGGAACTGGTCCAAGTTCTGTGACTTTTGCAAAGACAAAGTTGACTTAGACTTTCTCAAACTTCAACAATGAAGTAAACTATTATTTCAATGCTGCTGGAACTGCTTGGGACCCAGTTAAGTTCACATGCGAAAAATTTGAATGCAAGAGAATAGAAAGCAGACTTGCAGTCTATATGTTGGACCCAGATATTTCAAATGCTTTAGCTGCCAAATATATTGCAGTTCCACTTATGTTCCCTATACACCAAATATCTGTCAAAGACTTTGCAGGTGAAGTTGGAAACCAAAGTGCTGACCCAGGTGCAAGAACAGATATTGCTTTAACAACTGCAATGAAACATGCAGATACTATGTTTGTACTGTTCAGACGAACTATAAATGACTATTCTTGTTTCTACAACCCCGGTATTAAATATCATATAAACATAGATGGCAAATATTATCCAAGAGAAGAATATTCTACAGTTGAGGATATGAGGTCATACAACTTGACATTAGATGCTATGAACTTTAACAACAACTTCACAACAACCATTAACCCTGAAATGCAAAGTTCTATTATGCCATATGTGAAAGTATGGACTCATACAGGAGGTCAAAAAACTCAATATACAAATGGAGACCGTTCAAACTTTTGGCTTGGCATTCCATTTGCTGACTCAGAAGACTTTATGGGTGGTATTTCAACTGTTGGTACTGTACAAATACAATATACTGGTGACAGAGACGGTCCAGATGAACTGAGAGCAAAGAAGTTTACAAAACCAATAGCACTTTTCACGGAAGATGCTCTTTTGAAGATTCGTTCGATGAAACCTGCTGGGGCTCCTCAGATTGGCATAACGACAGCTTCCATCGAGCAGATTTTGGCAGCAGGTCAGTAAGTTGTTCTTGAACTGACTTCTCTCCGTCAAATATTGACAGTACGCCAGTTTTGACATAATATTGTAAGATAAACTTACCTTTAGAAATATCTGTAAGTTTTGAAGTTATATTTTTGTCTGCTTCAAGAACTTTCACCATTTCAGTTATACCAACTTTCTTTGCTTTATGAAAATATTTTGGTTCAGCAAAGACTGCTATTCTATAACATTTACCATTGTTTGTATAAAGAACTATTCTGTCAATGTATTTGTATTGTTTGTGTGTGTAAACTTTGTTCTGCTTCAATTCGAAGAGATACTCGAATACGTCCATCTTTTTATTCTAAGTAAAATGTCATTTCCGAAAAATAGAAGCGTGAGTGTTTCAAAAGGTTTAATGGCGGTGGCAGATGTGAAGTTAAATTCACCAACTCAAACAAACAGTCAAAGTGTTGTTGTCAATGTCAAAGACAGAGATGTTGAAGTGGGGAAACCATACGAAGACGAAGATGGTATAACAATTGTTCCTGTAAAAGAACAACCAACATATCCTGAAGTTAGCAGAGACTTAAGTTCTGTTGCAGATATTCGAAACGACTACCAACAACTGAAAGACAAACTTCAAACTCAGGAGAAGATTTGTCAAGCTTTAAGTATAATGTTAAACTTGGTCGAACACAACCCTGTAAAAGTGAACTCATATGTCATTGCACCTCATGAAGTTTTGAAAGAACTATTGAAACTTTTGACAGAGGCAGACGATATAAACATCAAAGAAATAGAACCCGACATTAGTTGCTGTGGTGTTTCATATAATGTCATTGACAAGATATACGTTATGAAAGGAGGTGAAACGTTGAACTTAAAGTATAGTTTCCCAGACGTCATAAAAATATTTGACGACCACAACATTTCATTAAAATTTATTTGCTAAGTAAAAATGTCAAAACTTCTTGAAAGATGTTTGAAGAAAAATAATATAGACTTTATTTCATGTAAAGGACTTTACACACTTTTGAACGATATGAAAGACCCTGTTTTGTTTGTTCGTGTAGACAAAGGAAAGTTCTATGTCTTTACAAAATATTTGAACTTCTTAGACAGAGAACTTCAAGAAACGCCATGTGAAAGTTTAGATGAAGTTCTTCTCCACTTTCAGAAAAACTTTTAAATATATATAAATGGCAGAAGATATAATGGTTTATACTATTACGACTAAAAACCCTGAGTCATATAATTCTATAACAACAAACTTACAAAGTCCTCAAGGACGTATTGTAAACTAACTTAAACACAATGACGACTAAAGCCTGTTTTGCTCTTTTGACACCAGAAGACTTTATTGTTGTGAATGGTAAAAAATACTCCTTTGAAGATACTTACTCAGATATACCACCAACAGGTTTTGTTGACTTATTTAATACTTTAAGTACGGGTGTAACATGTGCTGCAACTAGAGCAGGTTTCATTATGTTTGGATGTCCGACTGAGTTTACTATAAACGATATGAGCTATAATACAAAACTTATTTCTGGTTTTTACTACCAACAGTTTCCTATAACAGGAAAAGGTGTCATACAAGGAATGTCTATTCCATTGACATTAAGCACACCAATCTTATATATTGTTTCAAACTTAGGTTCAAAGTGTTATTCGAATGTCGACAGAAACTATTATGACCAAAAGATACTTATGCGTATAAACAATACTTTCTCTGCTGGTTTGCCTATTGTTCATTCGAATGCAGAATTTTCAACCTTAGTGAACTCAAACACTTTGGCAAGTATAACGTTGACATTAGTTGACGCAAACTTTGTTCCTGTAAAACTTTTATGTCCTATGTATTTGTCAATGACGGCAGAAAGTTTCGAATTGGAAGATGCAACTGGTGAAAGTATTGTATTACAAGAACAACTTCAACAACAAATAGCTCAAGAACAACAAATGCAACAAATGCAACAACAAAGTCAAGAATAAAAAAAATATTTTTTTTTTTTTTATAAAAATGTACAGAATAGATGTTTCAGATTTTTATGACTTCCAAGCATTCAGAAATATGTGTCCATTTCGAGACTATAACAAAGCAGTCGAGAATTTGAAACGTTTAGTCATTTATGTTGACTCTGCCCCAGAATGTTATGTATGAAAGAATGGGATGTTGTCTTTAACAAACCAAGAGCAACAATAGTGTCTGAACAAGAATGTAGACAGAAACTTAAGAAAATAAAAGTTGTACAAGTTGGCATGAAGATGTTAGATGCTTGGGATATCTTATTGTCAAAGTTAGAAGATTTTTCAGTTCGAGGTATAAAGTTCTATACACCTTCTCCAAACTTCTATTCTATCTTCACTGGATATAAATACGAACAAGTAGAATGGAAAGAAAATATTATAGAAGCTTGGTTAGACCATGTCAAAGAAATTATATGCAATGGAAACGAAAGAGTCTATGAGTATATCTTATGTTGGTTTGCAAACATCTTACAACATCCAAGTGCTAAAAATGAAACTGCTCTCATTATAATTGGAAAACAAGGAACTGGTAAGAACACATTCTTTACAGATATTTTGTGCAAACTGTTAGAGGGCTATTCGAACCCGAATATGACAAACTTAGAAAACATCTGCGGTAAATTTAACTCCTCAATAGAGAATATGAAACTTATAGTTTGCAATGAACTTCAAAGTATAGATACAACAAAAGTTTTGAACTCAGATGCTTTGAAGAGTCTTATAACAGACAAAGTTGGAGTTGTTGAAAGAAAATATAAAGACCAAAGAGTTTGTGAAAATGTTGCAAACTTCATTATGGTTTCAAACAATGCTGTTCCGATGAAGTTAGAAAGTTCTGACAGAAGATATGTAGTTGTCAGAACGTCAGATTCTCATATGCAAGATACAGAATATTTTGACGACTTAGCAGAAACTTTGACATCTGACTTTTACAACCACTTGTTCTCATATTTTATGACATTAGATATTTCTAAGTTCAATCCAAGACAAATTCCACATACCGAAGAGAGACAAACATTGTTAGAAGCAAACAAGAGTGTATATGAACTGTTCATAGATGAAACTGACTTTGAGTGTTTAGATGAAAGGTCATTGTACGATTCGTATAAACAATATTGTCAAGAATATGGTTATATGACAGCGTCTAAACGAACATTCTTGGCAAATGTCAAAAGTCTTTTAGACGTACAGAATGGTGTATATACAAAGAAAAATTTTTATGAGTAAATTTTAAAAAAAATATTTTTTTATCCGATAGAAAAGATGGCAAAATTCATCTCAGTAAACAAGTACATGTCAGGACTTAAAGAAGAACTAGACCCATTCACATATTTGAATGTTTACTTCTACCATTTTGAAAAGTCTTCATTCAGCAAAGTTTGGAACATCGAACCAGTTAAGTTTGCTATTGTGACTAAAAATGGTGCGAAATTTGAAGACTTAGACATAGAAGGTTTGTTAGCAGTCAAAGAAAATTTTGACAGAAGGTTCTCAAACCTTAAAGAAGGCAAAGCATACAAACTTGTTATACCTTATGAACCAAAGAAAGCAGACGACTATGAATATTATGAGTCTAAGATAGTTGAAGTTCAAGGTAAATTGGGTAAAAAGATTTTAGAGTCTAAGCCAGTGTTTACTCCTAAAGAGGAAGAGAACATTGACATTGACCCAGAAATGTTCTAAAAATAAAATTTTATTTTTACATGTCAAATTTCTTTTTCTCTGGAACTGGTTCAGGTTCTTTCTTCTCTTCTCTTTCTTCTCTTCTTTACTTTCTTTCTTTCTTTTCTTTCTTTTCTCTCTTCTTCTTTCTGGTGGAGTTATGTCAAATTTCTCAGAACCATATTTATGTAAAAGTTCTTTGTCCTTTAATAGCTCATCTATTCTGTTTTCTATTTCATCTTCAAGAACAGCGCATGTGTCTTCTTTGCATTCTAAGAACTTTTGTTGGACTTCATCTTTCCAAGAGGCGTCATCTCTGTCAACAAGTCTGTCATTGACAAATTTTAAGACTGCTCTTTGTAATGTTTTATGGTTCTTGTCATATTCCCAGAAACAGAACTTTAGAACAAATTCACCTTTCTTGTTTACACTATGTAAGATTTTATGGTCGACAGATGTTTTGCTGTCGAAAAGCTTGTCTCGAATATAGATAGCGAAATCGCTAGACATTTTCTAAAAGATAAAAATTTTAATTTTTCTAAAATATGTTAGAAAAAAAGTTTGCTGACATTGACAAAAATTTGAGAATGTTTTAAACAAGAACAAGAAGGAAGTTAGAAAATGCTCAGATAAAGCCTATACATGACAAGTTCTTATTTGCTCAGAATTATAACAGGTCTAATTGCACCACCTGGGTCGGGTAAGACTTTCACTTATCTTAAAATGGCTGCACAACAACAAGAACTAGATGAGAAGAACCCATTCTATGAGTTAGTTGTTATTTGTAGACTTCTGGTCAATTTGACCAAACCGTCAATTCGTTCAAAGATATTATAAAGAAGTCTAAGTTAGTATGTATAAAGGATACTGAGTTGTTAGATTGGATAAAGAAGTACCAAAGAAGAGTTTTGAAGTATAATGCTATAAATGAGTATATAAATTCTAAAGACCCAAATGAGGAAATGCAGAGAATATTAGAGAAGAAACACTTCAGAAACAAACAGAAAGAGATAGAATACATTTCGAAGAAATTGCAATCTTACGATTGGAAGACTACCCTCATAGATGTCTTCTTATCTTAGATGATTTCGCTCATCTAAAGAATAGAGAACAAGACATGTGTCGAATTCTTAAGAAGCTTCAGGCACTTTAACATTTCAGTTGTCATATGTGTACAGACAGCCAAGAGTTTAAGTAAGGATGTAAAGAGAATACTGACTGACATTGTACTTTTCCCCGGATTGTCCGAAGACGATTTCATGGAACTTATGAAAGAGTCCATGGCAGGTAAGTTTGACAGACATGAACTATGGGAGAAGTACAAAGTCATACAAGACCCTCATACTTCTTTCAGAATTCATATCTACGCAAACAAAGTTCAAATTGTAAAAAGTCAAGCGTAAAAATAAAGAGTTCATTTACTCTACTTGTTTGAAGTTGTCAAAATACTCTGTTATTTTTTCCTTTAACAATGGCAAATCTTCTTTGAAGGTAAGTATTGTACAACCTTTCATATCATAGTGTGTTTGAGGTAACGTATCTTGAACTATTTGTTTCACATCTTCATTTGGGGTCATTGAAATCGGTAAGTTTTCGCGATAGAACCAATTTCTGTCAGATTTGTAAATCTTAGCAAGGTCGTAAAAGCTTTTGTTGTTTCTTCTGACTAAATGCAACATAACCATATCTTTATCTTCTTCATTTTCCATCTCTTCAGTATAAATCATATACTTATAGTTCTTTTCCTTTCCTTTTGGTACCGAACGTGGTATTCTTTTCTGAATGCTTTTGTCTTTTGCTTCAATGACTTCATCTTTTGCATGAAGTTTCTTTTCCATCTCTTCACGTTCTTGTCTGTGAAGTTCGTCAAGAAGTCTGTAAATATACCAAGCATAACGAGGTGAAGCCCACATTGCTACGGCATTTACAAGAAGTCTATGTACATAATATCCTCTTAAATTTATTGGCAAATTTTTACGATTTTCATGTGTTTTATGCAAGGCCGAGAATTCTCGGTCTAGAGAAATTTCACTCAAAAGTTCTTGTGTGCTTTCGGTTTTGAACCAATCGTCTGCGTGTTTGGTATCTGGAGCAAAACATGCAGTCAAAATACTTTGCATTTGGTACATATCGTCTTTGACCGAACGAATTAGACGCAATTGTTTGTTAAACTGTATGTACTCGTATTCTTCATTTATAGCTTCATGGACTATAACTGTTGTTGTGTTCTCTGTTGTTGACATATCTGTCTTTATATTCCGGATAAAAAAATAAAAAAAATAAAAATAACTTTATTTTTTATTTCGGGAAAATTCATGAAAATTCAAGAGGGTAGAAATGAGGGTAGAAATGAGGTTAGATCTCACCACTTCACCTAAACATTATTTTTACTGAATTCAGCAACAAAATTCAAATTGTAAAAAGTCAAGCTTGAAAAATCTAAGTGTTTAGTCTTAGTAAGATGGTAGCTTCTTAAAGCAAATACCATTGCTGAGTTTTATGTACGTGAAGAGAAGTACAATGAATTCAATTACGAGTACAATTGCAATGACAACTAAGGCAACTATTTTTGTCTTTTGCCAGCAAGGGTACTTCTTCTCTTCCAATGGTTCGGCAGAACTATACTCACTCATGAGAAATGCCAAAACGGTTTAATAGAAAAAGTGTCATTTTTTCATGTCCGAAGACTCGAAGGTGCAACACTTCCAAAATACCGACGAACTCAGAAGAGCAGCATGGCAGTATCTTCTTGACAACTTCTTTGAGTTCTCCAGGTACACCTTGGAAAATGCTGAAGAACTCCGACACAGAGAATTTGGAGAAATTGCACTCCAATACTACCTTGACAAACAAAGGGTAAACAAAGGGTAAAATAAGACTAAAAACTTAACGTTTAAAAAGTGACATTTTTATGAGCTCCGAGTCACCGAGAAAACTTGGTCAGATGTTAGCAGCTTACTTCCCTGAGGAGGATGGAAGCGTTACATACATCAGGTTCAAAAACAACGAACCTGGAATTGCGTACAAAATTCGCAATTACATGACCATGGAAGAGTACGAAAGGTTCCTACAAGAGAAACCAGCTCTAAACAACTCAGAAAAGAAAGAATAAAAAGTTTAACTCGTAATTGTTTATTTTTTTACTTGTATGGGCAAGCTGCAAGAATGAAGTCGACTATCTCAGTCTTTGTTTTGACGAGCTGGACGGCTCTTGCGAGTACGTCTGTTTTGCGGTCTCCAGCTGGTGTCTGACCTTCGTAATTGCGCATGTTCTTGAGAGCTCCAACTGTAAATGATTGTAGGATGAAGAGTCTCTCAGACTGCTTGAGGTAGTCTTCACGGTCACGAACCGAATCTGTGGTACGAGTCGAATCGGTCGATTTGAGGGAAGAGACTGAAAGCCTGTCGTCTTCCATGGGGTAGTAGCATACTCTTTGCGTAAACGGTTCAGACCTTCTTCGAACTCTTGGTCTCTCTTGGATTGAGATTGGAATTGTGGGGCAGGGTTTTGCATAAACATCCAAGGGTTGGGGAAGTAAGGCATAGGCTGAGGAGGGTAGTTCGGGAAGCCTTGTGGTGGGTAGTAACCTTGAGGTGGAAATTGGTAGTAAATCGGAGGTACTTGCTGGAACTGAGGTGCAGGGGCTGGTGCTTTAGGTTCCTCTGGTTTGGGAATGGACTCGGTTGGTGGGACGTCGGACATTCGTTTGTGTCCTGTGGGATGGAAAATATTTTTCTGTCGGAAGAAAAAACTTTTTCTGTCGGAAGAAAAAACTTTTTCTGTCGGAAGAAAAACTTTTTCTGTCGGAAGGAAAAACTTTTTCTGAAGTTCGACCAAAAAGTTCTCAATTTTCGAAAATTTGAATGGTTTACGGACGGACAACTGGAAGAGTTCTTCCTGTCGTCGGGAAAATTTTTTCCCTTTGTCCGGAAAATTTTTTCCAGTTGTCGGGAAAATATTTTCCTGTCGGATGGAAGGACTCGGAATACCAGAAGGATTTGACGAGGCAATTTACCTTATAGAGATAAATGAAGTTGTTAAGCAGTACTTGCGCAGGGTAATGAAGCCCAAGGTCAAGTTCACCGCTATTTCTGGAAGGGCTGCCTTGAATCTCGAGACTTCGACTGGAATTCCAATTCAAATACCAGAAAAAACTCCTTTCGACGACATAAAGGACGCCAAAAGAGAAACTCTTGTTAAGTTCCTAAACAAACGTCCTTGGATAAAAATACCAAACAAGGAGAACCCCCTACCCCATATGAAATTGGCAATTCAGTCTCTCCTTCACTTCTCGGGTCAGCCGTTCTACATAACCTGTGAAGGCGACATCCAACCAGTTCAGTCAACCTTAACGTTTTGAGTAAAAACATTTTTTTTCATTTTTTGAATGAAGCAAGTTAAATTCGTCCCACACCAATCTCAATGGACCGATGAAGAGTTTCAAGCCATGGTTGAAGGCGTTGAGAACGACATAGACGGCGAACTTGAAGGAGCTCAAACCACAATTGCAACCAAAATTGCAGAGTCAAGGAACAGATAGCTCCACTTAAAGCTACCAAAGCTACTCTTGACCTCATGGATAGTTACCGTTTAGATGTCAAGAGTGGAATAAGACAATTAAAATTAAAACTTCTAAACTACGAAGCTATACTCCAAAAGTTAGCAGAAATGAGAAGACTTTACCAGAGCTACTTACATGTAAGGGACTTACCTTCAAGCAGTCCGACCAAAGATGAATTTGTTTGACATTGTCCCAATTTTGTCCGAAAGTCAGCTCAGATGTTTCGAACTGCTCCCAACATATCCAGAATATGAACGTTTGCCTGAACTCTTCCGCAATCTCAAAAAACGTTTTTTGGTTCTCATGTTCCAAACTTTTATCGGAAGAGACAACAAACGTTCAGAAGAAGAACAAGATATTATTTTAAACTTGTTGTATGACATAACTGTCATAACAAGCTTTTTGAAGTAAAACCGTCATTCTCAAACCACTTCATTTTTCGATGTCAAACAAGCACCGAAGCCGAACACAATGGCAGATGTTTTCAAGGTTGCCAGACAAGCGCCCAGTTCAAAATTCAAATTGCCCATTGAAAGCTCATCTGAAAACACCATTAAGACTCTCCAAAGTAGTCTTATGACAGAGATGACCAATCTCAAAGCGATGTCCTGCATGAAAAGCTTCCAATGAGAAATGCCTGAACGATTTCACGGAAACCTTGCGCAATTACGAGAGAGAAAACCGAGACCTTGCAGACTCATCTACCGTTTCTTCGAAGAGATAGACGCCATCTGGAAGGTACTCGGAAAGGACAGAACATGCAACACCGTACTTCGTGGGAGTACCAAATTGAAGAAGGAATTGTCGAGGAAGAAGAGGAAGAAGAGGAAGAAGAGAAACACGAAGAAGTTCCGAAGCCGCTACATGGGCAACCCTTGTTGCCGATGACGGTTACGAAATTTCCACCTAACCCATACATACAAATCGCAACAAGGCGACAGGCAAGGTTCTTACCCCAGTCCTCAACAACTTGGGACACTTGAACCTTAACCTTCGGATCGCGGTTCAATCTCCATGGGCAAGCTTGTCGCAATTCAATGGGTTCCAATCCAGGCAAGAAGACGAAGGTCAGACACATTGACGGTGACAGCTCAACAACCGTAAGGAGAACCTCGAGTGGTTCTAAGAGTAAAAAAATTTTATTTTAGGGGGAAACCCCAAGTAATTTAGGTGTTTATTTGGAAAGTATGTTAAATTAAGGGTAATTTGCAAAATTAGTTCCCTACCTTTGAATTGGGCTCTTTCGTTATCCAGTTGCGTAGGAGGTCGTCCCAGAGGAGTTGGTAGAATTGCCAATCCAAGGACGATTTGTCCTCCCAGGCATTGAGGATGTACTGCTCGTAGAGTTTTCATGACCTCTGCCTTGCACCAGACACCCTCTCCCTTGGAACGTAAGGCTTCTTCGAAGTGCTCGAATGCGATTGGCTGCGTGACCATCCAAATGACACTTTTTGTCCGTTTGGTCAATGTTTGTGTCTCGTGGCCATAGTCGATGAAAATACAGACAAACAGGTTATATATGAGTTTGAGACCAAGAATGGTGTAACTCGACCTGTCCGATTCAAAGACTCCGAGGGCGACCATGAAATTAAAAGGAAATTAGCTAGGAAGGAATATAAAATGGACTGGTTGCCACCACCTCCACCTCCACCACCTTTACCTGTTCCTCAAGTAAATAAGCCTTTCCCGTTCCCAGAATTCCCACATTTTAATTCAAATTCGAATAAAAATTATTTTATTTCATGCAATGTTTTATTTCTGTGCCTCTTCAAGTATGCCCCAGTACTTACGCTTGGAGAGGACATGAACTTCGGTGAAAATTTTGTCCAATTTTGAATTGACCCATCTTCTCACCGACTAACCCATTTCAATGAGTTTGTTGTACCTTCTTCGTTCGTCATGAGTGCGTCAATGTTCTCATAGTAAACCTTCACTTTGGATTTGACTTCGGAGAAGAATTTGTTGTAGTTGTCAAGGACTGCCTTTGCGAACTGAGGGTAAGACAATGTTCGACAATAGGTTTTAATGTGGTTACTAAGCCACTTTGACCTTGAGTGAATTCGTACTTCAAAACAAAAGGAGAAAACCTTTCAACAAAGTTGTCGACCTTCTCATAATGTTTACTCTTCATCTCTTGAGGTTTCTTAATGGAATATCCCCATGTCGAATTCATAAGCAATTTGAGTGTCATTGCAAGTTTGGGGTTTGAAGCTTTCCTAATATCATACAGTTGTTGTATGACTTTTTCCAACTGTATAGTTCCTTCCCGGAACTCACCATCTTCGTTTGGAATTCCAGTCGGAATATATTGGACAAACTCATGTATGCAGCGTTAAGGTCGACATAGTATATCTTTTCGTTTGAGTCGAACTTGTCACAACCAATTGGTCCAGTTTGTGGAAATTCAAGTGAGTCTCTTATCTTCTGAGAAACTTCTCCTGTTATCTCATAAACATCGTCGAAGCAACCTGTTTCATATAAAACCT